GAGCAGGGAGCCCGATGTGGGACTCGATCCCGGGACTCCAGGATCATGACCTGAGCCGAAGGCAGTCGCTTAACCGACTGAGCCACCCAGGCGCCCCTCAAGATACATTCTTAAGCAAAAAAGACCACTGTGCAGAATAGTATATAGATTATACTCCTCTCTATGTACAAAGGCGGGGCTGTACCTATGTATGTACCTATGTTCCTATATAATCATAAACTCCTCCCAGAAGGATACGTGAGATATTGACAAGAATAATCACCTCTGGGGGTGCCTGGTGATGCAGTTGGTTGAGCCTCTGACTCTTGGTTTCAGCTCAGGTCATGATCTCAGGGTCGTGGGATCGAGCCCCACTTTGGGCTAGTGCTCAGTGTGGAGTCTGCTCGAATTTCTCTCTCTCTCTGCTCTTCCTTCCCTGGCAGGCATGTGCGCATGTGTGCGCGCGCGCTCTCTCTCTCTCTCTCAAATAAGTAAATAATCTTTTTTTTTTTTTTTAAATGGTCACCGGGGCTCCTGGGTGGCTCAGTCGGTTAAGCGTCTGCCTTTGGCTCAAGTCATGATCCCGGGGTCTTGGGATCGAGTCCCGCATTGGGCTCCCTGCTCGGTGGGGAGTCTGCTTCTCCCTCTCCCCCTCCCCCTGCTTGTGTTCTCTCTCTCTCTCTCTGTCAAACAAATAAATAAAATCTTTCAAAAAAAAAAAATGGTCACCTCTGGGGGGGAACCTGGGGCCTGAGGGCAGGAGTGGTGGGCTTTTGTTCAGTTTAATTTAAATTCTGTTAAGTTAATACGTATTAATTAAATTAATTTACATTTTGGAAAGTTTTGAGCCATATGATTCAAAACCGTAAAGCAAAATAAAGATGCATGTAGTGAAAAACCTTACCTGCACCTTATTCATAATTCAGCACTCCCCCCACCAAAATAAAGTCCTGACTTTTTTTTTTTTTTTTCCTTCCAGAGTTTCTGTAGGCACATACCAGCAAATACAAATAGAGAATCTTATTTTCCCCCCTTTTTAACACCAAAGGTAGTATAATCCCATATGGAGGGTTCTGTGCCTCAAAAAAAAATTTTGGGGGGGTTTATTAATATATCTTGGAGATGGTTCCACATCAGTACCAGGGGACAGTTTCATTTTAAAATCTTTCTGTGTGGGGCGCCTGGGTGGCTCAGTTGGTTAAGCGACTGCCTTCGGCTCAGGTC